CTGATAAAATTAAATATGACCCTTCATTAAATGTAATTTATGAGTTGTCTGACAAATTATGTATTTTGTCTAAGTGTATACTGTTTTTTTTTTGATAATTGGATGTTGTGTTTTTTTTTCCACAGAGGACTTGTGGGGATTAACCCGGAAACTGGATCAAAAGTTGCTGCTGGAAAGCGAGACAAGAAAATGCATGGAATGAACACACATGTATGCACACTGTTACGAAAGCCAATGGACTTTGAATGGCTTGCCATTTAAACATAAGTATTCCAAAGGAATTGATACAAGAGACTCTGACCTGAAGTTCATGATTGAGGTTCAAGTATTCTTGCCATTTTTATGGATTTGGCAAATTAAAGGTAGGCACAATTCAGACCATTTCTTTTGTTTATGACTGCAGTTCAGTCACACTTTAGGGATGTGTGCCCTTTATAATTGATATTTAAAAGATTAGTTCACCTCAAAATGAAAATTTCCTGATAATTTACTTACCCCAATGCCATCCAAGATGCTCATGTTTTTCTTTCTTCAGTGGAAAAGAAATTACGTTTTTTGAGGAAAACATTTCAGGATTTTTCTCCACACAATGGATTTCAACCGCAAACCTAACCCTAACATGTTGAAGTCCAAATCAGGGCAGTTTCAAAGGGCTCTGAAGTGCTTCAAAGGGCTCTTCACGATCCCAGCTGAGGAATAGGGCGATCGATCGAATACAGCGAAACGATCGGTTATTTAAAAAAAAAAAAAGTAGATACTTTTTAACCACAATTGTTCATCTTGTGCTGGTCTGCGACACGTCATCGGGTCACGTTATCAGTTTAAGTTATTTGTCTGTGTACTCCGGTTCAAAAAGGTAGGGAAGGGTGAAAAATATTTTATTATTTTCTTTTTAAATGTTCGCGACCTTTCCAACTTGATAAAGTAATACGCTGTAGCGCATCTCGGAGATGGTACAAGACAGGCTTTTGTGGTTAAAAAGTATATATATATATATATATATATATATATATATATATATATATATATATATTTTAGAAAATGACAGATCGTTTCGCTGTATAAGACCCTATTCCTCAGCTGGGATCGTGCAGAGCCCTTTGAAGCACTTCAGAGCCCTTCGAAACTGCACTGATTTGGACTTCAACATGTTAGGGTTAGGTTTGCGGTTGAAATCCATTGTGTGGATAAAGATCCTGAAATGTTTTCTTAAAAAAACGTAATTTCTTTTCCACTGAAGAAAGAAAAACATGAACATCTTGGATGGCATTGGGGTGAGTAAATTATCAGGAAATATTCATTTTGAGATGAACTAATCCTTTAAATGCTTCTGTTCTCAGTGGTTCTTTCCTAGGCTAAAGCCTTTCATTTAATGTGCAATCTCCATTTGTGTTTTTACAAATATATTTTGGAATCTGGTGCTTATGTTAAACAGACATTATTGCACAATAAATTTGTTATATTTACGAAAACCTGTTATTGTGAGTTTTATTTGACAAAAAGGCTGAAACTTAAAGCAAACGTATGTTTACACTAACTACAGTTGAGATTTTTCACTGCTGTGATAGTGAATTAAATTCAACAGTAAATGCTCTACTGTAAAATGTATAGCAGTACATGTAAGTTCATAGTTGCTCTTGTAATTTCTCTTGCATTCATAAACATTATTTCGACTAATTTTAGAGTTACAGCTGTAAAGACAATTTTACAGGAAATACATATATATACAGCAGTGTGCTGTGTTTTTACGGTACAATTGTAGTTAATGATTTACAGTAATTGTGTACATTTTTACAGTCTTACTGGCAATTTTGGTTGCCAGTAAGACTGTAAATTTTACAGTACAGTTGTAGTTAATGATTTACAGAACTCTTGTAAGTTTAACAGTATAGTTGTAGTTAATGATTTACAGGACTCTTGTAAATTTTTACAGTCTTACTGGCAACCGAAGTTGCCAGTAAGTTATTGTAAATTTTACAGTAAATTTCTTACAGTGTACTGTACACCCAAAGCGCTTTACAATCATGTCACGGGTTCTCTCCTCAACCAGCACCAGTGTGCACCAAGCATCCACTTGGATGATGCGACGGCAGCCACAGTACAACGGCGCCAGTGCGCTCACCGCACACCAGCTACATTGTACCTAACAATAAAAATTGTTAGGTACAATGTACTTATTGTGTTCATGTACTATGTTGTATTGCAAAACACTTTTGCTGCTATTGAGGCGGAATACGGTTAAGGTTAACTACAGGTTTCGTGGTATGGTTAAGTTTAAGGGTGTGGGTCAACAGTGTAATTACAGAAATTAATTACAGATGTAATTACATGCAGGTATTTTTTTAATGTAAGTACAAATGTAAGAAAAATTTACAAACATGTACATGTATGTACACAAATGTATTGTATCAGATGATTAATTTAAATGTTAGTACTTATAAAGGCACTTTCAGTGTTTTTTTTTTTTTTTTGCACTTTCAGTTTTTTTGTTTTTTTTTTACTCTTCACAGTGATCACAGCATCAGTCTATGTGGGCTAAACTGTGGATCATTTATCATTGCTTTGGCACAAAATGCATTCAATGATGGCATCTTTTAATTTACATGAATTCTTTTCTCACTTAGACACAAACATCACCAAAACTTTATGTACTACACAGGCCAATTCGCACTTGTTTACTGACTGTAAGCTTTACTGTAAACTTAAGTTCAAAACCTAGCACAACACAAAAATGAATAAGACAGTAATACGATATTGAAATACTGTATATTCTAAATATCTAAAAAGAAAAATCAAATAATATCAAAGCAATTAAATATAACTGAACAACACCTACACAAGTGTTAGTCTTTCAAATTCATTACCATCTATACAAAAGGGGAAACTTGTAGGAATAATTTTGTACTGTAATGTAAACATGCACGATACTGCAGAGTGTCATGCTTGCTTTGCAAATAAATTTTACAAATAAAAACATTGAATAATGCAACCTAATGATAGTGTTTTTCAGGTCTGTGTTTATGATTGACAAAGTGTGTTTGTTGGATGACAATCTTTGCTAGTGTTAGAAGAATGAGTTGATTTGAGACATATATGAAATGTTTTGGTAGTTTTAGTGCATTTTGAATGTGAAATTAACTGCTGTGCCAAGCTGAAAGTTGGTTAGGAGAATTATGTGAAGAGTTTTGAAAACCATGACCCAAGTTTTGAGAAATGTGTCCTAGCTATAGTAAAAAAAAACTGTAATATAAAGTGGGTCCCTATAAATAATAGGCCTATGTGAAAAGTATAGCCTACATTTTAGACACTAGACTAAGAAAATGTGAATAAGCTGAGAACATCACACCAAAAAACAAACAACTGAGGATTTAAACTGTTTTTGATATATTAATGCATCAAGAGCAGGAAATACTAATGACGTTTCAACTAGCTTTAAAAGTGGCTAACTGTGCTTGAACCTGAACACACTGTTGCCTCATCAACAATTCAAGGACAAAAATAACCCGCAGCAGGAGAGATGAGGAAATTATGGCCTGGCTTAGTTCCCATTAAAATGACTCATCTGTTCCCCTTCTGCGGGTGGAAAAATGCAGAAAAGATATTGTAGGACATTTTTTTTTTACTTTCGGTAAAGTCATTTCGTTGACGTATATTCATGAGGGGAACATTTCGCAGGGCATCACTGCCACCTTCTGGTTATATGCTTTCTCCCTTTGAAGTTTAAAATAAGGATTAGAGATTGGGACCCATTGGGACCAATCAGGTAGCAGCCTCCACTGAATTAACCAATCACAAGCAGGGGAGTCAAATTTTCACAGCGAAGTAAGATTTCAGCACAACACCAAACCTGAAGCCTTTTCATTTGTCGTTATAATCTGCTAAACATCTCAAGTGTTTTTTCTTCTTTTTTTCCATTTTCTTTTATTTAACAAGACAAGCCACTGTGTTTAAAAACCACACCAAACTTTATTTAAAACACCGCAAATGGGTGCCGTGTTGACAAAAGAACTGACCACATACAAAGTTATTTGGATAAAACTACAAATATAAATTAGGAAAATTTATTTTAGGATAATTATTTCCACAGTATGAACATACAGTCTCAAAAAGGCAGAGGGTAAAAGCAAGGAGTTTTTACACTTTTGTCTTAAATAGTCAATTTCATTCAAAAGGGATCCATGGAGGTGCAGTGATTGCATTTCACGTGGAAGGGCATCTCATCATGTGTTTAAAACACGTGGGTGTTCATCTGTGTCATTGTACAAAATACCATAAAAGACTCAAACTCTTTCAAATCTCATTCTCACCAAGTATGAACAGGACAAATCTGCTACATTTAACAGTTTTGTAGGGGTGCTTCAAATTATAATGCCATCTAAATGCCTGGCTGTTGAATTTACAAGCACACCAAAGCCCATAGAGGGAGGACTATGGGTAGTTTGATTTCATAACCGAAAAACTAATTATATTATTGCGGTTCTTACTTCAATATTCAAGTAGAAGAACATTTCTCTGCATGTTCGGTGAACAGTGATCTTTAATACTGGGTTGCTGGTGACCTATAAATAAAAGGGAACAAAGACAGCAAGCGAGGAACTGTTGGGTTTGTAACAGGAACGGCATTCAACAGCTAGTCGAAACTGTTGTGACACTTCCAGGGTATATTGCCACGCTCTACAAAATCACCTGCGTATAGCCATACAAAGAACTAGCGAGGTTATACGAACCATTACATCACAAACCCCTGAATAAAAAATAAAAAAAGAGGATACGAAGCACAACTGAACAGATCGACCACGATCTTGCGTTTAATAAAAAACAACAACAAAAATAAAAGATCAACTAAAAGAACATGTAGCTGCCTGTTGTATGTCAGTATGAAGCCTCTATAAATACATTGGCTGTACAGTTGGCATCTTTGAATGTTACTTGTGATGTCTGGATTCAAATGGCAGGAAGCCTGCGTTAAGGGTGGAGTGGTTTGAAGCATCAAGAAGTTTTTCAGTTCTGGCTATTCAGTAGGATTGTCAGTGCATCGTGTCTATAAGGCTTGGACTCAGCAGGTATCTGCCTTATTCTTGCACAAGTTCACAGTTTGCATACTCTCTCTCCGCTCAGAAGATGTCACTGTTGCAGCTGTTTTTAAAATCGTCCCTGCGAACCCAAATAACCTCACAGTCCCTCTCGGAAGCGACGCCCTCCACTGCGCACTGCTTTCTCAGGAGGGTCAACTTTGGGGGGGCTTGGGATTTTGGAGATTTGTCCTCAGAGAGTCCGTTAGGATCCTTGACTTCATCTCCTTCCACCGAAAGGGCCTCGAAGGATTCCTCCAGGCTCGGATCAGAGGAAGGGGCCCGGACGGACTGGCAGTACTCGTCGTCATCGCTGAGGATGTCCGTCTCCTTTACGTCATTCTGGTTTTCGTAGTGCTGCAGGTCAAACTGGTCCTCCACCCAGCGGTCTGTGTCCTGGATGGGCTGCTGGAGTTTCTGGAGTGAAGACGACAGCGGGAACTCTGTCGGGGTGATGGGTGACAGGTCCTGGGACGAGCCGTCGTCAAAAATCACACCTGTGTCTATGGTGAAACGATTACGGATCAGCTTCCGGCGGCCGAGGGTTCGAGATGGGTCTGAAACTGCAGATAAACAGTAAAGAGAGAGTGAATGCCAACTAGGTTTTTTATTCAGTAGACCTTTTTTTTTTTTCAAATAAAGAAAGAAAAACGGCAATATCATCTGGTGGTCACTAGGATTTAAATTTGTTATGTAATAATCTCACCCTAAAGCCTGAGACAAAAACTGCGGCTTTAATCATGTTAGCGAGAGAAAGACAGAGCGATATTGTGGGAGAGTTAGCAGGATATAGGAAGAAGAGCAGAGAGAAGGAAAGTGTTGCAGAGAAAAGTAATCAATGTTCAGTTTGCGTCAGACATCCCAAACCTACCCGCTCTGTTTATGGCGGGTCGTGAACCCTTTAGTGCACAAAGCCGTTTCCCTCCAAAGGGAATATACTGCTGATTTGGAGGTAAACTCTCTGTCTTCATTAACTGACGTCGTTGTTTTTCCCTCAGGATGGAATGAACTGTCTTTAGGAAGTCTTTTTTACTCTCTGGAGAGCTAAACAAACAACAACAAATTCAGATATTTTACTGAGGAATGGAAATATACAGTTTTAAACAATTTACAGTGGCCCCAAAAGTATGAAAATAAAGTATAATTAATAGTTCACCCGAACAGTTGATGGACCCCACTGACTTACATAGTATGGAGAAAAAAAATATTCCATACTATGGAAGTCAATTGAGTCCATCAACTGTTTGTTACCAACATTCTTCTAAATATCATCTTTTGTATTCAGCAGAAGACAAACTCGTACAGGTTTGGAACAACATGAGGGTGAGAAAAGGATGACAATTTTCAATTTTGGGTGAACTATCCCTCTAAGCTACACTTAAATTTATGAATGCTATTTTGCAAACAGCGATTATTTTTATTTAAAGACAGATAGTACACACATTTTTCAAATCAAAAATTTCTCAAAAACAAGTTTGAGACACTTTTCAAAATGAAATGTCTCAAAAAAGCTCCAGCAACCTTTATCATCAGATGCCACTTGTTTGGATATTTTTTGTTGTCTAATCAATGCAATGATATTCAAACATTTTTAAGAGTGTCCAAATGCTTTTTGGGGCCATTATAGTTCTTTTTTTTTATTGGCCTGTAGGTCCTATTTTTACACAAAGATTACACATCATCTCTCTTAGAAATACCTTTTAGTTGAAGGACTAGAGCCATGAGATCATTATTAAGGGGATAGTACCAAAAGAAATCTCATCATTTACTCACCCTTATGTCATTCCAAACCTGTAAGACTTCAGATCATCTTTAAAACACAAATTAATATATTTTTAATGAATGTTTCTCCTTTGAAAATCCACTAACCCAAAACTTTGCTTCAAAAAGAACAAATGAAGTTTATTCTTGTGTTACACAAGCATGTTTGAGCTTCTATGTACCATATCTGCCTTCGTGTCATTGCCTATTCGTGAATAAAACCCTAAATTAAAATGTTCATCATACAAAGCAATCTTACTTTTTCAATTTCAATCTTCTATATGAACTTTTCTCAAAGTATTGCGTGCGTGGACTTTCAATAGATAGATTTCTGTTCCTCTCTTAGATTTCAATAAAAATATCTTCATTTGTGTTTCAAAGATGAATGAAAGTCTTCAGGTTTGGAACAACATGAGTAATTGATGACAGAATTTTCATTTTTGGGTGAACTAAGTTCCTTGTGCGTTAGTTTTTCTTTGCTTTAGTTTGAAGTCTATCTGTCAGTTTTCAGGGCTTAGGTGTGCATGGCGTTCTGGACTTCATCTCACCTGCAGCAGATGTGGAAGGTCCTCTCAGGTCTACCTTCAGATTCTGACCTCATGTGAACAACCTCACACAATGCAGATCCCTCGGAATCTGAGATGAAAGAAACATCAGGTTAACTGTATGCTGGTAAAAGGACTGTGGGAAAGCCCATAAAAACCTCTTCAATGGTAGTACAATGAAAAACATTCAAAAACCCATGAGATCAGGACAGGGTTAATGAACCTCATGGAAGACACAGACCCTGGGACAATGAACAAGAGTGCAGACCCCAAGTTCCTGTAGGATGACCTTTGACCATCCACCATCAATAGGGAATAGCAACATTCTGGCCTGAGCCCATAAAAGTTCCACTGAGCCAAAAGCAGACTTTACTAAGCTAATCAGGGTTCATGGGATGAAAAATGCATTGCTCGCACTGTACAAGTGAATCTACAGCTTGAAGCTAATAAACCACACAATTCTCAATAGGTCCGTGGGAAAAGAATAAGACTAGTAGACCAAAACTTACTTGGGAGGTTGCGAACTTGGAGAGCATCTGTAGAGATCATGTGTCTAAAACGAAACGGGTCTCGTTCATCAAGGACTGACGCTCTGTGAGATCCACCCTGAGACAAAACAACACCAAAAATATGTGAGCACACTTAAAATACATCATTATGCCGTCAACCACCTGACACACTGAAAACAAGTTAGGGAAGTGATATATTCTCCAAACCACATTATAGTTTTATAATATTACAAACAAGTGAAAGGTTGATGATAGTCCATGATCCGAGTCCATGGTCACAGAGTGAGCCATGTGAAATAAGCCGAAGAGACAGCAGAAATTAATCAATTACAAGATAAGGGCATCCCTGTTTCACACTCAACAATGTGCCCTTCAATAAAACAAAAACTACACCTCTTAAAAGCGCTAGTCCGGGAGCACTTAAACTTAGCTCTGCAAGCCTATGTCACATCTCCATTAATGAATAATGAAGAAATGGAAAAAGCACTTACAATTTTTTTCTTGTGCTTGGAGCAGTCTTTATACACAAAAACAACTGCCGTTTTGAAAACTGAAGGAGAAAAAAAAAATGAAATAAAACATTAATACAAGACACACAAAACCATACAAACATTCACAATAGAGAAGCTTGGGGCTCTTTTCAGAATAGTCACAGTAAAAACGTGACCGGGTGAAACTGCTAACTTCAATGGCAAAATGACCCATTTTTAAAGAATCTGAAGGGTTTCTTCTTCTAAAATGTCTCAGCCAGAGGAAAAAAAAAGACTGAATGTGTATAAATGCAACTTTAATGCCTTAAGAGTCGCAGGACAAGGTGGTTCCTCTAATGCCATTGTGCCCAAAGACACAGCTGGCCTTTACTGATGTAGGAAACCATTACTGTAGAGAACAGACTAATGAATAAGAGAACAGTATTCTATTTCAGGAAAAAGCGCTTCACGAGCACTCACCGAACGCAGCCAGCTCTGTGTCTCTCTTCCCCTTCATGAGAGAAGAGGGTGGGTTGATCCAGACCACAGTGTCGTGCAGCAAGAGGTCACCCATTGACAGATCAGCAACCTAGGATGCAAGTAAACAGCTGTAAAGCCAAATCTACTCACTTTTAGCGAGTTAGGTGACGTCAGTGTGCATATCATGACATTTGGTGGTGGCATTAAACTAATTGTTGATGCTTCCTAAGGGAGACTCTATTGTACCTCTTTCTTCTCAGAGCTCTGCTCACTGATGAGTTGGTCAAACACCGCTCCATACTCCTCGTGAATCTTCTGCATCTCATTTATGTGACTGGCCACTTTGTTCATGGCTTTCATAGCAACTACGAAAAGAAAAGAGACTCAGTAAACTGCAACTAAAGTCAATTATACAGAGAGTTACAAGCTACAACCCCTAGTTGGGACTGGATTCAATCTGAATCTGTAGCCACATTTAAAACTTTGCTTTACAGTTGGTAAAGGTTCAGGACCATTTTCAATTTAGAATTACACTGGCTTTTTTGTTTCTGTAGCTTTAAGAATATATACAAATTACCTCTATTCTGATTGGCAGGGCTGCAAGATTTTGGGGGGATAAATCTTGTGATTTTTCTGATAAAAATTGCAATTTAAAATGTGATTTAAAAAAGGTATAAGAATTAAAATGTGATTTAAAAAAGGTATAAGAATGCAAAATTGATATGTCAGAACGACTATGAATAATAATAATTATTATTATTAGTAGTAGTACAAGTAGTAGTAGTAGTAGTAGTACCAGTAGCATAAGAATAAGAAATATTAAAATAGTGAATATTTCACTGTAATAAAGTAAACTGTACAACTGTAAAATTACAATACTAATTTTTATAGGGATCCCTCAAAGCTTCCCTTTTGTTGACAACAGCCGGTTTATAAGTGCTTATCATTACAAGTTTGGGAAGACGGTTGGTGCATGTTGCTTTCCCAAATGCAAGATATGGTTTTATTATTTCAATTAAATCACGCAGCTCTACTGATTGGCTAATATTTTACACATAGAAGCTAGTATAGTTTGCACTTGCTATGCATTGTTACTGGGAAGAGCAAGCACATTTCAAAAGAGCTAGCAAAATCCTGTTTTTTGTGATCTTTTTTAAAAACCTGCTCATCATATTACTCTATAGTTCCATTCGTGGTCTAACATTAGTTAGTATCTGATTCTTCATATTTACCATCCAGGTGGTAGTGTTCCTCGCTGTCTGGGTCGGTGAGAGAGTGAAGCTCCCTCAGGAGTAGTGGGTATTTTAGGACTCTCTGAATGGGTTTGATCAGGTAGGACTCCAGCGTGGAGGAATGCTGCTGCCTGGGGTTCCTCTCAGCCAGGAACGCCTTGAACACCGGGTCTGTTTTAGCTGCAACAAAAGATTGGAGAAATAATAGGATGGCACAAGAACTACATATCAGTGGTATCCTCAAACTAGACTTTAATTTGGACAGGGTCTTATGTCAATATACTCAGCCCATGGTGTTCAAGACAAGAACTACACATTCAAGTAATTCTTAGTTTTCTCAACTGCCAGAATGTTAGCCTCACATTTTATACTCAAACACATTTAACCATACAAATATTAGTCAGTCTCTCATTGTCTTTAAAACTTGAGCCACTTTTCCCACAGGAACCATCTACATTCACATACATCAGTGAAAAAGCTTTGGTGCCTTAGGGAATTGATTTTTTTTTTTACAGTAGACCCTTAAAAGGGGTCATCATTCTTCAGAAAAAAAAAACCTTTGGGGTACATCATTACCATGTGAGAGAGTAAAAAACACCCTCTAGCTTTGAATACATTCTGAAAACTGGCCTTTGGCAGGGGGTTGGGGTTTGGGGTTTGAAAAAAAGAACTAAGAAAAGTGGCAAACGTAGAAAGCGAGCAAGCACTTAAACTATCCAGTCATTGAACATGACACTGAAATGACAAGATACCTCAAAGATCTAAAGGCGTTCTTGTCCTTTAAATCAGTGCTAAATGTGCTAATGCTAGTAAACCAGTCTCTGAGAGTGCAGTGGTGTTACCTTTGGTAAGGACCTTGGGGACCTTTGTGTGGCTGGCACAAAATGCACTGTAGATTTTAAAACGGTCCGCATAGTACAGGAAGGATCCGCCAAGAGAAAACAGAACTTTCTGGAAGTTCGAAGAGAATGAATTAGAAAACAAAGAAAGTTTCATAGAATGTACAATTAGTAGATAGTGAGCTTGTTTTGGTGCGAAATCATATTAAGCATCTACTCAGACTAGTATCTAATCTGACTAATATAACTGCACCTTGAACTGATCCACTCTCTCCAGTTTGTCTAAATCTGGAACTAATCTGGTTCCATCTTCCAGAGTTTTCAGAAACTCCACTTGGAATTCCACCATCTCCGCCAAGTTTCCAAAAAGCACATCCAGCTAGGAATGTAAAGAGAATAAGAGAATCTTAAAGCCAATACCAATAACATTTTCAGAAGATGATAATATTGATCAAGAATTTTTAAAATATTAATAATAATAATAATAATAATAAACACTAATGAAATATCTCACCTCATCCTGAGAAAGGAAGCTCTGCTTCTGCAGGGGGTTCAGGTAGCGCTCTATCAAAATGTTTAGGTCCTGTAGAGAGACAGACTTTTTCATGATTTGGTTCAGTGTAGCTTTTACCAATCAGGAGTGATTTTCATGTTTATTCTGTGTGGACATTCAGGACCGTTTCTATTTTAAAATAGAAACACACCATGCTTTGAAAACACAGCAGAAGATACTGACCTTAACATAGGTCCTCTCAGTGTCCACCAGCTCACTGATGACTTTACGGAGTTTATAAGCATCGGAGAGCTGGCGGGGGGTGAAGAGAACAGGCATGGGTGTGATGGGGCTGGGCACACATGATGAAGAGGAGGAAGATGTGGAGGAAGACGAGGAACAGAAAACGGGACCCTCGGTGGAATTCATGTCATGAAGGTTGCGGCAAAAAGCAGTCACCTGCTCCGTACTCTGTGGAGGGAAACGATTTCAATTTAAACACCAGAAACAGCTAAAATGTCAGTACAAAATAGCATTTAAAAAAAAAAGCCATGCAGGAGTGGAAAATCGACATATCTATTGATAAATCCTGTTCAAATTTCCTTTCATCATCCTCAACTTGTCCATTTAAATTAGGTAAAGCAAATAGCAAAACATTGTTTTAAAAGACTCATTTTAAGAGAATTAAAAAATACTTAAATGTAAGAGAAGCATATGAGGGTTATCCTCAGAGTGAAAAAAATGGAAATAAATAAATACATAAGATTATATACAAATACAATTACTACAAATATTATAATATATTATTTAGCACAAAACGTATATAACCACATAAACACAATGCAAGAAATGCTACAATGACAATTAACAAATTCTTTAAATTGAAAGTCTTGATCATGCAAAAAAAAAAAAAAAAACGCTCTAAAATGTTCACCAGCAACAGGAACACACTCAGTTATTCAGAGCATTTAAGAGTCAGAAAGAAGCATTTCCAGTTCCAAACAAACACATTCAGCGAGTTTCTGGCTTTACTCCAAAGACAAGGCGCATCATGCCTTATGAACGCTAGGGTAAAGTGTAATTAGACCCTTTTAAAGTTATTTACTGCACAGACACTTCTGTGTCAGATCTCTGAAAGGACAGATCTGTAATTTAGTACTGAACAGTTCGTCTCTTTGGGAAATCTGGCAGTGGATAGATTTTCCATCAAAGAACATGTCAACAAAGAGAAGGCTACACGCTGCCCTTAGCCAAGATTATTTCAACTTCCCACCATTCAACTCACTCCCTCACTCAACTCTTTCACTCTCTCATTCAACTCACTCACTCCTTCCCCTTGTACTACAGAGCTATCACAGAGAAACATTACACAATAGATATTAATACACATCATCAAGCTTCCAAATACCTGAAATAAAACTATTAACATCCACCTAAACGACACAAACCTGTCCAAAAAGACAGATTTCGTTCCAAAAGATCTTCAACCAGTGTCACATCTCGTATGTCACAGGATGAAGTTTAAAGCCAGCACAACTGCAAGAGCTCATGCTCAGGGTGATGTTCAGGAAGAGGTGGAACAGATTCACGAAGACAGGAGGAACGGAGGACAGATGGGGCTTCCAGCTGAATGAATTCCTCTCTGATAAACACACAGTGACGGACTGACAAAAAGCCTGCACACCCCAGCATGCCTTAACCAGCCTGGACAGCCAGGAGAGAGGTGGAGCGATGTAGGGAGATATGAGTAAGGAGCTCTGTCGTTTTTCCGGGTTAAATAAAACTTAAGCTTTATTTACAAGATCTGTGGTATGCTGTCGGTTAACAGAAAATGGACTCTATCCTTGTTCTGTGAATACAACATCAAAAAACATGTACAGTAGTGCACCTACAATTAAAGTCTTTAGGGCAAGCATTCAGGTGTACAATAAGTGTGAATCCAATTTTTCCTAAGCATGAATTAAGTAAAAAACAAACAGCTACGTGAGCTGAAAGGTCCGATCATACTAGTGACATTTCTGTGAAATTCTACAAGCACAAAAAGATCCATTGTCATTAGTGTAGTAATGAAGTACCGCTCGCATACAATTATATTTTAAACCAAGCAGATTTCTGTTGGTCAATGCTGCAAACCCGTTGGGAAATCTGCGCGAGGAACTTTTCGCCCCATTGCAAAATTAGTAAAAACAGAAATTTGCCAAACAACAGTAAATGTGACCGCACCTTAATGCACTTGCAATAGAAGTCTATGGGTCGTTCCAGCAGGTTTAAAGGAGAAATTTTAGGCCTGGTTTCACAGGCAGGGTTAAGATTAAGCCAGAATTAAGACTATTTATTTAAGATAAATAGAAAATTTAAGTAGCTTTTATGAACATGCCTTAAAAAAAACATTAATGGTGTGTATCTTGAGACAAAACAATGGCACTGACATATTTAATATATGTCAGTGCAAGTTAAAACTGCTGAAATTTATATATTTCTCTAAAGCACTCATGATTTTTTTTGTACAAAAGCATGCTATATGAGCTGTAAATTTTTTTTTTTTAAATTACTCTTTTAAAGAGGGACTCGTTTTCTAGGTGGATGAACTTGTTTATGCTCTACAGTTACAACTCCTATGGTTAGAATATGTTCCATGTAAACAGTGCTTTATAGGTAGTTAGTTACCTCATGTCTTTTCACACAAAAACCAAGTGAGAGCAATTGGAAATTCCTTTTCAGCTAGTCATGACATGATTTGAAAGATTAGATATAACTTTGCAAAGACTGGCTTGGTAAAAATCACACCCGCCCCTGCGCCCAATGCTAAAACATGTAAATGCTACAATTATACTATCAAAACACTGTGACAGTTGTTAGTGCTGCTACAGTACAAATCTATTATTTTATAAGGTAATTGGCTGTATTATAGAACTTAAGTTGTATTTAGCCCAGAACATCCCAGTTTAAATGCTCAAATTGTCCTATATGCAACACTAAGCCGCTAAATCTAACATAATACACAGGGTGTTCGAAAATGGAGCCCATGAACTGTTATGTAATGCTGAGTAAGTATCACACACACAAAATCAAACACACTCAGGCTCACCAATTGCAGCATGTCATAGATGGACTCTGAAGAACGTTTGGAGTTCTTGTATCTCCACAGCACAGACATTCTGCCCCTCAAAGTTCACAGAAGTCACAGCAGGGCGACCCATAATAAACACACAGGAAGCGCCTCAACCTCCAGCTTATCTTTGCGTGCAAAACGTGTCACTACCAGACCATGAGAGCGAGGACGGAGCTTCTCCGACCAGAAACAGATAAAGCAAATGAGTCTTTTCCACTACCAACTCTACAAGCCACGATAGCTTCCCTGTCCAACACAGCCTCCTCCCTCCTTTCCTAGAATTTCTCCCTACGTCTCTGCTTGTCTGAGCTGGTTTCTAGCCGGATGGATGGAATGGGGATCTGACAGCTGTGGTGGTACAGTAAACACACAGAGAGAGGGAGAGAACGAGAGAGAGAGAGAGAAAATAATAATAATCTTGTCGGCAACAGGATGAAGATGACAGAAGGGGAGGGGGACACAACAAGCATCACATCATAACACAGCTGGGAAAAACACAGCTTTCTCAGGTGAAAATGTCAACATGCCGAGAATAAAGAGGACAGGTGTGGCACAATGTTTGTCTTTATGGTGAAAGTATAGAAAAGAACAACCATAGGCAGAGATGGGTTTGCCAGAACTGTGGCGCAGTAGTTAGTGAACAGGTTCTTGATATGTTGATCTCAGATGTTCAGGCAAGTGATACAGGTTCAAACTGGCTTGAAACATGTTCTACTCTAAACTCCTCCCCTTTTTCCTTAAACGTTTCCTGTCATTCTCTACTGTGTGTGTGTATATAATATATATATATATATATATATATATATATATATATATATATATATATATATATATATATATATATATATACATACATACACACACACACACACACTACAGGGCTGTTGAATGCTTTAATCTGATTGGGTAACGAACGTACTAAGGTGTGAAAATTCTTTTGGGAAACGCACGGCAGTAGTTCCAGGCAGGTCTAGACCGCATTACAGTTCCATATCACCTCGCCAAATGATTTTAATTAATTTATCTTACAGCCTACAACAGAAAAAGTGACGAAACCCACAACGACACTGACCAAGCAAATACATATAGTTTCCATGTTTTTTGCCACTAAATTATGTTTTATTATGTACGGAAAGCATTCTGTCTTTCTCCCGCTCTCTCTCCCACTCAAACACACATACATACAGTACGAACACACACTGTTGTCAGTGCTGCTCTAATGATTTTATGAGTAAAATAGTTAAACAACTTAAAAGCTACATGAATTTCTCACAAGTGAGGTAATAATGGCCCTGATCTTGGAGCAGATAAACTTAGTTTTGCTATTAGTAGAGACGCTGCTGCCGAACACTGCTGAGAGACGCACTCCGATAATTCACATACGCTTAATCTCCCTCTTTTTCTCTCTCTAATAACTGCATAAATCTACTTTCAATGGCTTAAGTCTCCGTTACTAGCTCTAAATTTACGTTTTGGAATTGGCAACGGAGGCTTGGGGTTAGATGCGTAAGAAGTTTAGTCCTACACCACGAGTGTTTTAAGGACAAAAACCTGAAAAACGTTTTGAAATACTTAATCTGAACAATCTTTTAAGGTATAGGAACCGTAGTACTAGCAGAATAATTGACTTTGGGCCATTGAATTATACCATATATAATACACAAATTAAAAAAAAAAAAAAAAATCTAAATCATAACCGGAGCTAAAACAAAAGTGTCATATATAAGGCTCGAAAAATGTTACAACAAAGACAACAAAACCCATATTGGAAAACGTGGGTATTGTTAAATGCTAATCAAACCTCCACCCATTCAGCCAGTGCTCCATCACGAGTTCCAACCTGCTTGCTTTATTAGAAGAGCTAATGACTAACTCTCAGGGAAAGTTAGCAGACCCACAGTCACACACACTTGTCAGGAGTGTTTATTTGCTTGTTAACTCATCTTATCAATGCATAGACTCATAGAAGTCAGGAAGAGGAATGTTTCCTTCTCTGGAAAGCAGAGACATGCCCTTATCAGGCTCTGAAAGAGACTTCTCAACTGCACAAATTAAATGTTCTATGTCTTGAAGGAGCTTTCACATTCAAAACTGTGTGTGGAATTATATCCATGGTTATCTAAACATCACTGCATTTTAATTGTAACCTTTAAATGTAAAAGCAAACATTTCAGACTTGTTTAGCATGCATGCTACCAAAGCTCAAATATGAAATATGAAAGTACAGCTCTGCTTTAATGGCAGAACAGCATTGGTTTGCATGCCCAAGTCTAGAAACACCTCTGCTTATCCAATTTCTCTCTCTTTCTCTCATAACTCACCTTACACACAAGCTTAACGGCTTTGCAGCACCTCAGAGCATTTATGACTGGCAAAACATGCAAATCCATAAATTTCTCAGGAGATTTCATGGGATGCAGGTTGTAACAAGCATAAAGCTCCACATCATGTACATCCTCAAACCAATCACGATTAAAAGAATCCTTCAGTACAAACCTCCTCTCCTTCTCTCACACACATACACACACACACGCTGATGTGAAAAGTCAATATTTAGACAGTTAACAGCCCAAATCCATGAACTTGCATTCGTATTTCTCTCCAGAGTGATAACTCGAGGGCAAAGCTGCTCGGCTGGCTGAACCTGCATTGTAGATAAGTCTAGAGACTGGCAGGGGAAGAACTTCTTTGGGTTTAGCAGGATGTTGAACCACCCTCTGTGAGATACATGCAGTCATTATCGAGCTTGGAAAAATAATGAAGTCCTCCTGTCCTTTGTCTTCTAGGTTGTCTGTTTCCTCCGGCGGGTTTCTCCATAATTTATCAGCGTTAAGCGATTCGAATCGATGTGCATAATCAAGCAATTAGAATGCAGAGCTAATTAAAGGAGATGTCCCCCTCTCTTTCACCCTCGTCTCAAAGCGAGAAAAGAAAACATAAGTGACGTGAGATAATAACGATAACCGGCCGTGTGATTAATATGGGAAGAGAGAGAATGAGAGAAAATGAAGCTCATAAATTATGCCCAGCTGAATCAGCTTCTCTCTGCCTGTCTTTCTGTCAAAACCACATACAAATACAAAACAATAGAGAGTACAGTGTAAGAGAAAGCTTTCAGTTGTGCTTTTAAGAACTAAAAAACTGAATAGACCAGAGAAAATGTGTAAACTTGGTAAAATGAATGTCTGAATAGAGATCTAATTCTGTTTTCTTTTGATCCTTTTTGTTGGTTTAAGGAACACACACACACACACACCCCTATCATCATTATCAGGATATTCCAAAGGGGTAGCCTAAATTACATTTTCTTGCCCCCTAAATTTACTCATCATAGACAACTTTCTGCATTTTTTAATTTTTAATAAATCGTTTAGTAGGTTTATTTGGCATTTGAATTAAAATGACATCGGTATGTCCTCATTATGTAACGGGCATGGAATTTTGTTCAGGAATCTGACTATACTAGTTGCACGGTATCTGTTTAAAGAAGTGAATCAAGAGCTTGTTTGGGAATCAGGCTACACTGTTTGCACTGTGTTTTTTGATTCACTTTAAAGAAAGGGGTCATAAGAGCCATTCATCCAGGAATCGGACAACACTGATCATCAGTGCTGTGCATTTCATTTTGTACATTCAGTAGAGTTATTGCTGAATAAGTATTGCAGGAAACTGTCAGTATTTTAGTACAGCGTTCCTTTTGCATTACATGTGCGTGTGAGAACCATTAACACAACTGAGCGAGAAGCAGTAAACCAGAATTAGACTCTCCCTTCCCCGGTTTGACAGTAGCTGCGTTTACATGGACACTTATAATCGGATTGACGGCTCAATCGGACTAAAAAACCTTCATGTAAACACCTTAATCGATCCGATTGAGCTCAATCCGATTGAAATTTCGAATGGATTGAAAGGGGTGGTTTACTCCTTTTGTAATCCAATCGAGAGAACATGTAAACACTTGATCGGATTGAAAACCGAAACTAAAAGGACTGCGCATGTGCAATGACGTTGAAATAGCGTAATGAGTATGACGCACGGAACGAGCTGTTCTTCCTGTTGAATAAAGTGAATATAAATGAGTGTTCCGTTATTAAAAAATTCTCATTTCACTCAGCGTCTGTGAAGTGAAGCAGGACAACGTCCCACCAGTGCTTCTTTCAGATTATCATCCATGGACGACTGGTTTTGGGCGCGGGGTTTTACTGCGTGACATAAGCAGCACGGCAAAACGGTTCAAGCTCATCGTCTATAAAATCATGACCATAGACGGATAAATATTAAGTCTACTGTTTAAAAAAAAAAAAAAGAACCAATAGACGAGAATAGTTATGCGCGAACAGCGGCATATTCGTGCAGTGTGCGCGCATGTCAAAAAATCAATTCCGATTTGAATCTTGTGACATATAAACGAGCACATCAACCCGATTACTTTATTTATCGTTCATGTAAACACCGTGTTCGGATTCATCAATCGGATTGATTTCATTCCGATTGAACCATGTAAACGCAGCTAGTGTCTTAAAAGAGCATTCATGAAAGTCTATGTGGTGTGGTCATGTGACTTCATGTGTCAAAACGTCAGTTGCCAGCACAAAACTCATATCCTACTAACTTATTCAACAACATGACACTTGGGTGGGACAGAGGGGAACGGGACAAGACAAACACACGGTCTGACAGAATGCGGTGTTGCCGTGGGTGAATTATTAGGGCTAAATGTGTTCCTGCAACAGATGGTGTGCTGGAGAACAGGCCAGAGAGACTGTGGCCGGCTGGCAGTGTCGGTGTGACAGACAAGGACATAGAGAGCAGGAGAGAGAGAGAGGAAAAAAGAGGCCAGATATCAGGTCAGTTAACAGAAAAATAATCACACTAATCTACAGAGGGAACATGGAAGGGAAAAGAAGAAAGTTTGCACCGTCATGAGAGAGACGAATCAACCCTGAGGTAGACTTTATAACATTTACACTGAGAAAAACATTGCAGTGTGAAGTGGAAGTTGCAAAGTGTGTGTTTTTGTATACAGTGGAGTCCAAACCTCTGAGACCACATTGACAATCTGGGACTCAAAATTAAATTTAACCCTGGAAATAAAAGCAAAAGAAAGGTGATGTACAACGATTTAGAAATATTTAAGATTCTGGACTATTTCTAGATCACTAATTAAGCAAAATTGTGACTTTGATCATGTGACTCTTCGTACAAACGGTCAGTTATTCATCCATTGAAGAACAAGATGCTCTGTGGGTCATTTTCAGATCACATGATCATCAGGTTTTACACGAACTTGAGTTCATGCAGCTCGAGTGCTAATGTTATTAAATAAAAAGATGGACAAAGCAAATCATGTTCATTTTTCAGTTCACTCAAATTGTTCTGCTGATAAAATTATTTGTGATTATGTAATAATATAAAACTACAAAAAAGATCAATGGACCCTTTTCACATTTCCGAGGTTCACAGAAGCAGAAATCGTCATAGTAGAGTAAACTTTTATAGTGGTGAACAGAAACTGCAACAAACATATACATATACACACACACACATATATATATATATATATATATATATATATATTGTATTCCCATATAGCAAAAGAAAAAAACAAAATGAAATAGTGTTTCCATGACTTTCCAATATATGAACAAAATATTGAGAGATTGATTACACCGGTCAGAAGAGAGAATGATGTCAAATTTGCCATCACTCCCTCAGCCCCTGTATTAGAAACACTCATGCAGCAGCGTTAGCCATTCTTCTGGAATTTGAAACACAAAGAATAGTTGTACATGTAAAAACCCTCAAACCATCCTAGGTCTATACGACTTTCTTCTTTCGGCCAAACACAGAGTAATATTAAAAAAAATATCCTGGCTCTTCCCAGCTTTATAATGGGAGTGAATAGTAACAGATTTTGAAGCCCAAAAAAGCGCATCCATCCATCATAAAAGTAATCCATACGGCTCCAGCGAAGTGATGCGTTTTTGTACAAAAACATATTTAACTTTATAAACTATAATGACTGGCTTCCGGTAATGGCCGTACACGAGTTGAGTTCCGGCCGAAGAGTGACCTCTGACCCGACGCATGACGTATTGATGAACGCGGAAGTGCAGAGGATCAAGCAAATCAAAACACCGGTCATGAATAAGAAGTCTAAAATGAGAATATTTAAAGAGAAATGTTTGAGGATTTCGATATAATAGAAGAGGAGCTTGAGTTTGTTGCCCAGCTCTATTCGATGGATGCGCTTTTTTGGGCTTCAAAATCTCAGTTGCTACCATTAAAAAAATTGGAAGAGCCAAGATATTTAATAGAACTCTGCTTGTGTTTGGCTGAAAGAAGAAAGTCATATACACCTAGGATGGCTTGAGGGTGAGTAAATTATGGGATAATTTTCATTTTAGGGTGAACAAACCCTGTAGAAATGCGGCTTTACAGTCTGTGAAAAGGGTCACTCACATTCATTAGTGGTCACAGACTTTTGGATCTTTGAGTACGAGTATGTGTTGACAAGTTTTATCCATCCTTGTGCAAGTGGTTACAGCATCATCTCTGATCTTGACCTCAATCAAGTGGACACTGTCATCACTAACACTCACTGTGAGAGTATGAGTGTGTGTACGTGTGAAGATCCGCAAGGCAAGACAACCTGTCTTCCCATCTGCTGCAGTCTCTGATATCAAAGGTCACTTAGATCACATGACACAAAGCTCTTAACCAGCCATCTGATTTCAGTCAGCCTCTGACTCCAGATGACACCCATAATATCAGAAAATAGAGTCTGTATTTACCCACCCCAAATAACAGCAGAGGCCACAGAACGTAAATACATAATGACCCAGACACAAAAGAAACTGGGATGACATGCTCTCTGAATCAAAACCAAAAGCTCAATCTAGTACAATACAGCCAGCCAGACAGTTGTAGGTTTGAGTAGAGATTTTTTGATGAATCTTCATGGCAGGTGGTCTCTAACCTTGTGTGCTGAGTCTACTTCATCCTCCAGGCTGTCGGCGGGGCTCTCAGCCATTAGGTTTACCCTGTCCTCCACCGTGTCATCAGGGCTGTGCAGAACCAGGCCAAGACCTTCATCTAGGATGTCCTCTAGAGGGAGCAATGAACACAGACAGGGACTGGGTGAGCAACAAGACCTGGGATGAGCAACTCTGGCCCTCGAAATCCACTTTACTGCAGAGTTTCACTTTTCAACCCTGATCAGACTCATCTGCCTGTAGCTTTCCAGCAATCCTGAAGACCTTGATTAGCTCGTACAGGTGTGTTTGATTAGGACTGGGGCTAAACTGCAGGAAAGTGGATCTCGAGGGCTTTCTATTCATCAAAGAAACCCCAAAAAACATATCAAGGTTTCCACAAAACTATTAAGCAGCACAACTGTTTCCAACATTGACAATAAGAAACCTTTCTTGAGCACCAAATCAGCACATTAGAATGATTTCTGGAGGATCATGTGACACTGAAGCAGGGTTACTAATGTTAACTAAAACAACAAAAACATTTTCATTACTTGAAATTAACTGAAACTTATTTTATTCCAGCTACTTGCCGAAGCAACACATCTCATTTTTGTTTAGTTCAGTTGAAGTAAAACAACTAAAGCTTAAAAACTATATAGACATATTTAAAAATATATATATAAAAATGACAAAAACACAACAAAATTACTAAAACATTAAAATAGGAAATGAGAAAAAACCTAATTATTAATATTAACAAACAAAATATTAACAAAAACTGTATATGAATGATACTAAAAGAATACTGAAGACTGAAATACTGAAAATTCAGCTTTGCCATCACAGGAATAAATTACATTTTAAAATGTATTCAAATAGAAAAGTTATTTTAAATTTTAAACAATATTTCACAGTAGTACTGTTTAACTTTTTTTTTTAAATAAATAAATGCTGTCTTTAATCTTACTGACCACAAACTTTTAAATGGTAACGTATCTCTAGTAGTACTGTATGTTGATGTACAGTCAAATTCTAGTGTTGATTTTTATGATTTCAGAATGACTTAAAAGGTGGAGTAATGCCTCATCTGTACCAAATGAAATTGATGGCAAGAAAATATGGAAATCTATGAAAAAAATAAGACAGTGGTGAAGAGGTTTACCCTGACTCTGGGAAAAGATGTCAGTGCAGAGGTCCTGCGCCCCGTCCGATCGGCGGGGAGGCAGCTGGCACAGCTGGTGTGGATCGGTAGCGGGCAGCGTGCTGACAGTCAGGGTGAGAGAGGGCAGAGAAAACGCAGCCTGCATGTCTGCCAGCTCCAAAGCGCTCGCCGGCTTACTGTTCAATTTCAGAATCTCATCACCTGCTCGCAGACCTGAGCACACACAATGTTTTACAAAAATTAAATCAAGTTTGTAACCCCTCAAAGTTTTGTTACATCACTCAAACACAGAAGCAGACAAAAATATTCATGAATTCCTCTTAAAACATTTAAAAAGTCCTTGTTTTCTTACAGAGATGCAAAATTATATGCTGTCAGAGGTTAATTATTAATGCAAAAAGTTAATTATTCATATAACCATGTTAGATGAATGATTACATCCTTATTATTCAAGTAGATTTGCTGTGTATGTTTTACAAAACAGGATGAGAACAAAGGGAGAAAACGTGTCTGCTCCTCCCCCTTCCTTAATTATCAATTACCAATACAGCTGCTCAATTAGCCTCAAATAGCTCAGTTAACACTCTTTAGGCAGGTTTGCCACTTTAATTGATTATCGACGTCCATGCCCAGCCTCCCAACTCTTGCTGGAGCTGAATTTCCCCCTGTTTCTAAGCTTTTATGAATGCTGTATGGGTTTACACACATGCATGCATGCACACACTGCCTGAAGTGTGACCCAGTTTTACATGAAGCAAAATGTCAGCTGTAATAAAGGTTTTTCATTGGATGCTCGGCTCTGCCCCAGGCAATAGAGTGATGATGAATGTTGGGGTGATGTCATCAACAAGCGCCCTCAGTGCTGTGCGTCCAAACTGTCCTGAATTTGAGTATTACCTCCAGCAAGTTTGTCTGTGCGTATTTCACACACATCCATGGACGCACACACACACTTCATTCAGTTTGGACAGCACATGTTCCTGATGAGCCAATTCTTTGTTGGGGCATATTCTTCCCCCCAAAAAAGAGGGAATTGCTTCCCATACTAGACACTGTCCACTTGGATTTGCATCCATCTGCCTTACTATTCATCCAGACAAGCATTTTATTGTACACTGCCACTTTTGCAAGGCCTTCTGGGTAGAATTACTAACGATACTGAAACAAAACCCTGCTGATTTTTTGTTTTTTAAACCAGCCTTATACCTAGCTTGCTAGTCTAAGCTTAGGTTTTGGCAATTTTCAGCTAAACCAGCATGGTTTAAATGGGTTTTTGCAGCAGGGAAAGGCATGCTCGTTGTATACTCTGCATTCAGTCACATAGGTTTAATTCTTGGGGATTTAGCACAAATCCCTGACCCTTAGTATGGGCAATAATAATAGCGATGCTTATCTTAGAAAGGCCACTAATTAAAATATTCTGATGCTCAATAACTGGACTTCCTGGAACAGAGTATTTGAACCCGTTCTGAAGGTTGCTCTTAATGAGCGCACTCACTTGGCACAGATATCACTGGCAGTGTGTAATGATTTTAATTTGCTCCTCTTAGTAATCCTGTGCTCATGTGAAAGCTTTTTAAATGATTTTCCTCCAGTCCAGTGGAGATTTGGGTCAGTCAACTCAGTTCAGACTCATATTCCCCTGCTAATTTCTCAGCAGTTTTACAGACTACTGCAGGTGAGGCATTTACAGTGGGGAGGACGGAATAAGGTTTTGATTTGGACCTGGAACAGCTGCCAAATAGAGGCAGTAAGATAATCTAGGAACTGTTTTCATGATTAAGCATCCCATAAACAAAAGAGAAATGCATTGCCAAACTAGATTCTAATCTCTTTGAAGTAAATTCTTATTTTTAGCAATCGCACAATCCTTTTCATTCTATCGCAGAATGACTGTTGTGTGTCCAGTTTCAAAGTATCTTCTCCAACACTGTATATGGCTTGGCTATAATGAAGAACAGCTATCCGTTGAGTTCCATCACACACCTTTGGCGAATGCCAGACCTCCGGCTTTCACGTCAGTGATATGAAGCTGCTGGCCTCCATCCTCCTCTACTACTGCCACTGAGAAACCTGGAGGAGATAGAACGAGAGATAAATAACTGAAAAAGGAACAAACAACTGGAATAAAAACAGAAATAAACTAAACAGTATTGTTACCGTAGCCTATGGCACAGGACTCATCTCTGTCAAACTGGATGACTTTGTTTGTCTTGGCACAAATTTCAATTTCTTTGAACAGCTGAACAAAGGAAGAGAGAGAGAAAGAGTCACATTGCACTCTTAGGATGTACAGTTCATTTACAGTATGACAGCAGAAAGAGCTCATATACATCATGGAAAATGTCTTAGTCTGCTGAAATTCATGGCATAGATACGCTAAATAAAAATCAGCCCATTCTCAAGAGAGCCTGAGACAAAACTGAGGCTTTGATCATTTCAGGGAGAGTAAAAGTAGGAGAAAGTCAAGTCTCTACAGAGAGAAAGTGAAAAGATGAGAGGAGACATGGAAAACACAAAGATTATCTGTTATCTAAGAAGAGCAACCATGAAAAAAAGAGCTAAGTAAGTTAGCTTTTGAGGTTGCACAGTCGTTGCAGAGGTGGTTTTCCCCAGACTCCACAAACACACACACACACGGGGATAGAAGAACTATTCAGAGTGCATTATGCAGTACATGCATCTTCTACATTCATAACATATGCAGCAGCCTCAAGGCTGTCTGAGAGTTTAGACTCGCTTTAACCTACATCGCAGTCAGAACTTTAAAACTTTATACTATCTGCGGCACATTGCAGAGCCCGTCACAGTCTAATAAATTCAACCCACGCTGAGTCTGTGACCGCTAAGCGTTCTTAACTGTCCAGGAAACGCTGTGGCCACTGACAGGCTCTCTTCGTTGGACTCACCAGGTCACAGAGGTCCTCCTCAGGCTTGGGGACATACAATTGCAATTGATTGTCGACAAGGAACTTCAACCGTATATAGTGCTTGGAAAGATCCAGTCTGTGAGCCTGTGAAGTGAAAAAACAAGTTTGTATGGTTGTAATCACTTTCTTATTAGCATTTGTGTCTTTATACACTAAAAATTAAAATTGTGTAAAAAACGAAACTTGTTAGACTAGTTGGCAAATTATGCATTGTGTTTATAGAGCACTGGCTGCAAGGATTGCACACTAATGATCCCTTAAATGGCAGCTCACTGTGGTCTGTATGATCACTCAGCAGGAAAGATGGGGGATGGATAACATGGCTCAAGCCCTCAAGAGACATCTGAGGTTATGAGCCTCGTTCAGACCCCTGTGCCTTTCATATAAAAGTACTGAACTCAATAACCTCATCAAAAAAACGTTTTCTTTGTCCCAATGGACCAGATAGGACATGAACTTGCAGCTGTGTATCGGTTCATAACATGCTATCATAGTCAAAGTCTTAAGTTTGAGGAGAACCAGGAAATATTATATATAGTAAATTATAATATACTATATTATATTAACACTAAATATAAATATATAATAAAAACATAAACTGTAGAGGACTGTACATTATCCCACTTACTACATGGTTACTAAACAAGTGAAAAAGGTCATGAAATATTGTTTTATTGAAACATATATTAAGAAAGAAGAAGAAAGTGGAGACTGTGAGATGACATGACATATATTTGACTACAGAATGCTGCAACTGACCAATTAGAATAAGGTATTCCAGCGAGCTGTATAAAAAGAAAGATTAACAAATGAGGTCGTCTAAATAAATATCGAGAAACTATTTACATTCAGCAATAAAAGTCAGCATTTAATCTGTGCTGTTACTTACGACCATCTTAAAATGCTTAAAAAATTGTCCATGACAGAGGATGTTAACTTTATGTTCTCCAGTGTGAATTGGTTTATATTTTATGTCAGGGCTTGACAGAAAACCATTTCTGGGATTTAGTGCGGCCACTTAATTGCAGGATAATTTATTTATATTTCTTTATGTTTCATGCTACTCTGCTTCAGACTATCTAAAGAGATGCATGTAGATGACCAAAAAATTGAAATACTGGAATGAGTAACTGTAGTGTGATTGCTTTACTGGCATTCAAGTTTGAATAAGACGTGGTGTGTTACCTACATAAATGCTTAAAGACATATTTACGAGAAGTGTGGATAAGAGCATTCTAGAACACTCTACAACAGCAGAATGATAACAGGAAGATAACCGCAAGGAGAAATAATTCACTGACACTTTAGCAGTTTGCCTTGGGAAATGGAAAGTTCTAGCACTTTCTCAACAACTCCAGCATCAAAGGAGGGGTGGGCAAGTTTCGTGTTTTCAGGAAATGTGTTACATGAGATGTTAGCCATGGATGAATCATAAGATTACTCTGCTTTGATAATATTGAAGTGTGTTTTAGGTATTAAATTTCCTATTCATTGTTGCAGATGGGCTGCAAGATGACTGTATGGCGAAACTGTGATCTTGTTTGCGAAAGAACCAAATGGCACAGCTGACATATCTGTAGCCAACGTGTGCTAACACCTCATCACAAAAGATGACAAGCAGGACAACAAAATCAATTACGTGTGATTTACTTTTTCAATAATCATATATAATATTTCTGAGGCAACGTTCAAGTGGGTGTGGCTATATATGCTAATCTTGTCACAATAACGTAGGCTGATGCGACATTGAAACATGTCGCTGCTGAGACATTGCTGTTCAACATGAAACTACGAGAGGAATTATGTTAGAAGAAAGCATGGTTAAAATAGGAAAGATAAGGATGCAGCATCCAGTTACCAGCCTCTGGGAACTTCAGTTTGACAGGATTCAAGGTAATCTATTTGATTTGAAAAGTTTTGTTTGCGAGTACACATGACATTTACCCTGCACAGTGTCTCCAGGGCCTCCATGGCCGTCTCCCCCGGTTGTATGATAGCCAACACAGGTCGATCGTCAGGTAAAGAGACCCAGGACGGCGTGAGGTAGTCGGGCACCCAAACTTCATTGTCCGTCTTGTGTTGGGGGAGGCTTTTCACCGAACCCTCTCGGTCCTTCTGCTAAAACAATTTAAAAAAAGAAGTAAACTGTTTTTGAATGTGCTTAATGTCAACTTGAAATGGTTTTCACAACCCATATAACCAGTGGCGCAAAAAGTGGGTATACGCTATATGCCGCGCATAGGGGCGCAGCACCATGGGGGCGCCAAAGCGATGGTAAAAAATTTAAATTGGTATTTAGGCACGCTCATAAGATTCCATCATAGAATTTTGACATAGAGGGGGGGGGGGGGGGGGGGGGGGCCCTTGCATTTAACATATATAATGTGATATATTTCATAGCGAAGAAATTTAGGGACATACTGCTATGCAAACTACCAATACCATCGATTAATTTTATTTTTAAATAATAGCCGAGCTAACAGTAGATATCTACATATATTTTATATTACATTATACTATATTTTATGGCCTATTTTACTTTACTGATACCGATATGACTGCAAAAATCTTGTGCAATCCTGAAAAAAGTAGGACAGAACTTGATTTCAACCACCTGGAATTATATTTTATTTTATACTATTTCATGGCCTGTTTTACTTATCGGAGCGATACCGATATGACTGCCGATATATTGCCCAATCCTAAAATGAAGGATGTAACTTGATTTCATCCATCGGGAATTGCTTGGATTGATTGGTTAACATTAACCAATAGCCTACACATCTTAAATGATGTCACTCAAAAGGAAAAATCGGCAATGATGAAGATTTTTTTCTTTTATTTTTACTGATAATTTGTGTACAACACCACCAAAAACGTGTATTAAGAAGGTAAACAGCGTCAATTTCATGTTGATGAATACTAAAATGCATTAGAACAGTGATTACCACAAGACAATATCACAAAACCTCTGAATGCAGATTTACTGAGGTGTCAGTTTCCAGGTTATATTTGCACAAATCGGGCTTATCACATTTAAGCAGGGCTGTCTGGATCGATGCAGCAGACAATGTGATGATATCTAATCTGATACTAATTAACCTGGCATCCAAGCACAGCAATGTGCAAGGTAAGCCCAGTGCAATACTCAGCGCCTCTGTCTGACAACGCTGCTGTTAGACGTCTGGCGGGTGATCGATGGGTTGACGTGTGCCGGCTGGGAAGTGCATTGTGGGCCTTTCGGGGGCTCTTGGGTCTGTCAGCGGGTCTGGCCTGCTGTCAGTGACGGCATGCTGCCCGGCTCAGATAGCTTATCCCACACTATCGGGTGACAGCCTAGCACCCTCCCCTTCCCCTCAACAATCTGCCCACAGAGTAGCTGCGATGGTGGTCCCCCATCATGGAGAGACAGCAAGCCCACACATGGTGAAGGAGAGCGGGAAATGGGTCAAAGGGACTTAAACACACTCACAAACTGGCAGACACATGCAGACAATACATTAAACACTCCAACATTCTGTCAATCATTCAACTCACACACACGCACTCCCCTCCCAAAACACCCGCCATCTGCCTCTTCTCCTGGCTGTTAATGGACGTGCCGGGTGGGAGAGGAGCCTGGGCCTCCCGCCGCTTCTCTCAGAGGGCCTGCAGCCCAGCTTGGGTGACTCAACTCTCTCTCTAGCTCTTTCCAGTTCCCATTGGGAGATCCACACAGCATTAACATCTCGGTGCTCATGCGTTCTGCCTTTGACAGTATTCTCTTTGAGAGTTTTAATTATGTAAAGCATGCTGTGAACTATTAGCGTCGTCCTCACCAGTGTCTCCTTTCCAGTGTCCTCAAACATGTGCTCGAGATTCCTCTTTACCGGCTCTTCCCCGTCTACGAACACCTTAGGTTGAGACAAAACAACTAGTTGAGACGAATTTGGAGTATTATCTGCGAAATAGCATGTTATGGATGTTTCAAGGGAGGATAACATCATGAACCTTCAGTTGGGTCCCACCATAAATGTGTGAGATTATTTGAAGTTATTTGAATGTACTTATACCACATACAAACTTACAATCGCAAATTGTATGCTAAATAAACAGTGATTCGTTCTATTGAGCACATGTAAAATGTGCCATAAACAGACTGTAGCAGATGACTAGCAGATGTGAACCTGGTTAATGCTGGGTCTGCCTTTGGTTTTCTTTTTTGAGGTAGTGTCCAGACCCCATAGAGAGGAGAAACGGCTCTTCCGTTTACTGGAGGAACGAGACAGGGCTTGGGTACGTTTCCGAATTCCCCCATCCGTCCTCGCTGCCACCTGTGCAACACAAACATGAATACAGAAAGGCAATAAACATCTAAGAGAGTATCAAGCACATGTGATGGTAGTTTTAAAACATTTAGCATTTGTTACTATGGAGTCAATCTTTAAAGAGGTAGATCACCCAAAAAATAATGGGAAAATGCAGCATAAACATTGTTCAAAATGTCTCCTTGTGTGTAAAGGAGTAAAACAAAATTTGTGGACTAGTCCTTTAAATGTTTCACCAATTACATGAATAGTGAGATCTACAATTAGTATCAAACATTTATGCAAGACACAAAACAGTATTATTTATGGGAAATAACTCTTGATGGTTGTTCACACCAAAAACAATAACTATAAAGGTTTAATAATCAGTCTAATTCTAATAGAATAGCAACGTCCACCACACTTATGATGATAACGACACAAAGGACAATATTGGTGTAATCACTTTCAGAAATGTTTTAAAACATTAACAAGCCAGTCAGAATCCACCCAACTTTACAGAGCTCGAGCGGCAGACAACATAACTGCAGTTTCATGTTTGTATTAAACAGAATGTTAATGTCTGTTGGTGTGGATGCTAATATAGTTATTTTTATAATTATAATTATCATTTTTGGTGTGAACAGGCCTTTACTCTGCCTAGATGTTTTAGCCTTCATTGATTTTAAACAGCCTCAGTGACACTGTGAGAAAATATAAGGAAAGAGAGGGGAAAAAAACCTCCCTTTGCCTTTAGGCTTCAAATAAAGATCAGTGATGGGAAAAAATCGGACACCATGACTCATTTCAGAAGCAGTACACACATAAACTGCCATGGTGTGGAAATGTCCTGTTCACACACCCCGACACGAAACCACACTGACATTTCTGGGATAATAAACGTTAGTGCCAGAGAAGCCATAAAGGATTTCCTCAGTAATCAGTCTGTATGGAGGATTTCCTTTTATAAGCATAAAACCTTGGTAGTTTAGGTGACATCTTCAGTACAGTGTCTAAAGACAAATCCTGTGGCTTGCTTTATAAGAGAGAAGAAACAAGAAAGGAAATTGTATAAAGACATTTAAGGTTTAAGGCAGTGATTAGAGATGATGCTTTTAAAAAACATGCTTTTAAGGGGAAAATACAATAACAAAACCTTGTCCCTTTTTCATTATTTAAAAAGTCAATGATTTTCTGTCAGATTTGGTTTCATTTACAAGGAACTCAATGAGTTATACAATAAAATGGGAGTTGCTTTTCTACACCACACTGTGACGCCTGAGGTGAGGCGGTCATAATGCTGAATGTTACGCCATTCTGTACGTTCTCTGCTGAACCACAGGAATGACAAAAACACGATGATGACAGCATGTTTTGTTATGCAGTTTTTGTTAGGACTTAGGCCAAGAACAGGCTGGCAGGCAGCTCAGAGCTCACTGGGCTCTTGTGGAGTGGATTAAAATGAAGAGGATGTTAACTAAACGTGTGAATGAGAAAAGATGTGTGCGAAACAGAGAGAAAGAGAGAATTATGCACTGATACTGAGTGTGTTTCTTTTGAGCATGGAGGTTTGTATATATGTGTGTATTTCATACCAAGGCATGAAACGATGATACTGAAAAAATGCCAAGACGACCCATGGACAGTTTGGTGGGGCGGGAAGCAACAGCAAGTAGGCGTTTTGGATTTGGAAGCTCGCCGCCCTGCAGGCTGGACAGGTAACAGCGATACCGGAACATGTCCATATGAAACTGCTCCAAATTCTGCTCCCAGAGGAATATCTGAACAAACGAAAATCTGTTGTTTTTACTTTGTTAGTACTTAAAAATGCTCTGCATTTGCACACTGATGAGGGCCCTTAAGCTGCTGACTATTAGAGTGTGGGCAGTGTTATTAATAGGGTTTTGTTTACTGGAGGAGGATGCTGGTATAAATCATTAGTCAGCAGGCCTCCTCCAAGCCAGCATGACCTACGTCTATTCAGAGACCATGGAGGAGTATGCCCACCTCCACACCAACAGACAAGTACATCACACACACAAATAAGTGAATAGACACGCATTTACACACTCATCTTTTATGTAAGTAGAATCAAATTACATGTCAGTCAGAGACTAGTTTAGAAGCCACATAAAAAAAAACACATACTCGCACAAATATACAGTAGCATCACAAAAACACCAAATCTTTGTGTGCTAGTTAATAAAGTAAACCAGCATTAAAGCATAATTTCAGCAGAGTGTGTGAATAGGTAAAGGTTAATAGGTTATTGCCCGGTTTCACAGACAAGGCTTAAAGGTGCAGTAAGCGATTTCTGAGAAACACTGTTGATACTTGAAATCACCAAAGCAAACACGCCCCTACCCAAAAGGATCAAAGCCCTATATTTTGATAGCTCCACCCCCAAATTCACAAACACGCTATGCAGCACAGGCACCGCCCTCCTCATGAGTGGACACGCCCCTTACTGCTGATTGGCTACAAGTGTGCTTTGGTGCTCAGTCCGATCTACTTTCAACAGCGTTTCTCAGAAATCGCTTACTGTACCTTTAAGCCTAGTCCCAGACTAAAATGCATGTTTGAGCTGTTTTAACTGAAAGCAACGTGCACTGACATATCTTAAAAAATGTCAGTGCCATTGTTTTGTCTCAAGATGCACACCAGTAATCTATTTAGGCATGGTTATAAAAGCTACTTAAATGTCCTATTTTAACCAAGGCCTACTCCTGGCTTAATGTAAGCCCTGTGAAACCAAGGGTAAACTTGAGGTGAAGCTTTAATTTAATTTAATGTTTAAACATTTTTATTAACTGGCTCAACCAATGGCATGAGTTTGAAAATATATCTTTGTCCAACCATTGGCAAATACCAAAACCTAATGCTAGAAATTTGCATATGTGGTCTGTGCATACCTGCTCCAGGATAGTCTTCCTCTTCTTCCCATCAGTGACGGCAGAGAGCTGCATTTCACCCATCTTCTTCATTTTCTCATCCATGTCGATCTTCTGTTCAAGCTTCTTGATCTCAGAACGCAGCAATCGTACTGTGTCCTCGCGGTGGTGCTGCCGGGCGACGACCGCAGCGCAGGCTGAGTGGATGGCGGTTATCCAGTTTTCCAGCTCTGTTTGACCTGATGTCTAAAATGAAGTAGATCAGACCATTACATCCTCACTATAGGATGCCCACTGGCATTTTGGCTGCAATGGGAAAAATAGTATCTAAAAATTGGCACTCCAGATATATAAGGTTATACATCACTATTGACATCATCATTTTATCGCCATAGCAACAACGAGATACTTTCAGCACTAAACTTTTTTTATTTTTATACCAAATGACAGTCACATAGATTTGATTGTCAAGCCTGACTACTTAACCTTTAAGAATGTCACATGGTAAGTAGGATGCTGTCACCTGTCACAGAATAAAATGCCACTGAGACCCATTTAAATTTAGAAATATCATTCAGCATTTTTGAATGAAACAGTGGACCATGTGTATTGAGGTCGGAAAATTCTATATCAACTGGATACATGTCGTCATAAATGTATGGACCGAAACCTCGCCAAGGGTTTCAAATAATACCCTGAAAAATTCAAGATTTTAAAAGTAACTGGAATCACATTAATATTAGTCTTTTGAGATTTGTCAAGAGTTACCTGGAAGAGAAAGGCGTCTCCCAGTGCATTGCTCAGACAAAACACGAAGTCTTTCTTGGGATGTTCTGGTACAGCCTGGACAATGCTGTTCTCCACCCAGACTGCATGTTTGTGAATGCTGTTGTGATCAATCCCTGAACGCCCATCCGTTTCGTAGAAAAACAGAGTGCATCCTTGGAAAATAAGTTGAGAAGGAAGATCAGAAAATATGTAACTGGAAATGTAATACAAGTTTCAGGATCTTGATTCATCTACATGAAGCAGAACTGGGGTGATTATTTGCAATATGAGATATATATATAAGAGCAATATGCTATTCTAAACATAGCTTGTATCTCACCTTTGAGTGACACCCAATACTGCTTCCACTTCCTTTTTGCTGCTGACTCCACCCTCTTATTCTTTTTGTGTACTAAGAAGTTCTTCACAGCAAGTATGCCGGCCTTCCGCACAGTGCCCTGCACCGTGCTAAGTAGAATGTCTGAGGGGTAAACGGAGCTTAGCGTTCCACTGCTCCTTTCATCGCTGGCAGCCGAACTGGCTTCCTCGAGGCATTCCCGCGTCTGTCTGGAGTTCAAGTCCAGCTCGTGACGGAAGTTCTCGTACACGCCTTGATCTCCACCAGCTTGACGTTCACGGTCTCCTCCACCTCCGCTGCTGCTGCCACTGTCACTTCCCGCGAAGATGCTTCCGCTAGCAGTGGAGTAGACGGAGAAGGACGCAGACATGGCCTTGCAACGGCGCGAGGAGTGCTCGACCTCAGCTGCACCACCGTCAATACCACTGTCTCCATACTCGCTGCCCTCACAAGCTGTGATATCCTACACACACAGACCAGGTTAATGCAGATAAAAGATGACACTCCCTCTACAGTGACAGCACTTCATATGGGATATCCTCCAAACAAGAATTCCTTCTCAGAATTTCACCCCAAATAGTTTGACAATTCATAAAAATTGTAATGGAAACTAACTTCAATTGAGCTGCTAAACGGCTCTTCTTTCTTTTCTCTTTTGACAAACACAAAGGAAGAGACTATGTACTTGTTCTCAACTTGTTTACCAGTGCATGAAAGAGGAACAGAAAGAGGAAGACATTCTAAGGAGAAGGGGCCGATTCCCTTTGCCAACACAGAAACACGGCAGTTCCTCGCAGGTAGATTATGGGAAATATCATGTTTCAAAAACACTGTTGTCCAAAGTAGCTGCCAAAGGCTTGAACATGAAAGTTGTGTTTGAACTGTCCCCTGAGACCTTTCAAAATTGGAAGCTCTTTGACAAGCAAAGACAGTTCAGATCACATAAAATATGCACAAACATGAAAGTCAAAATCAGAATTTGATTTTAAAGATCCTGGAGTGTTTTTATCTTTCACATTTTGCTAGACCTAAAAGTTCAACTTTGACTTTCAAATTTCCAAAGAGAATCCAATAAGCTCTTTATCCAGTTCTTGGTTGTTGCACTTTAGTAACTAGGTTCTAAATAAATGGACGACACTATCTGGCAGGTTTGGAAGTTTGCAAAGTGCACATGATTCATAACAGTCTTTATTTTGAGAGGATGTGAAAAACCATTTGCCAGAGGCATAACTTACATGTGTTGTTTGCGCACGCCGTCCCTGCATACGTGAGCAGATGGTAGTCTTATGATTGGACAGTCCTTCAGACAGGCAGTGAGAACGACGACAAGGAAGAGTGTACGCTCCATATCCGTTCCCTTCCTCCTCTGCAGGAGACAAGATCTCGTCGTTTATTCCGCCTCCTTCCGTCCTCTCGGGATTGTGACCATTATAGAGATGGTGGGAGCCACGAAGAGGAAGCCTCTGTGTGCAAAGTTCATCTAAAGAGTTGGCTCTCTCTCCTGAGTGAGACTCGAGAGTCCGCGGGCTTGAGGTGCGATGCCGTCCTCCACAGTTGGCAAAGCTTTTGTCCTCATCCTCATTTGTCCCTATAATCTCCTCTGTGCTTGTCAGATGCTCTTGGCTTAGATCCGACAGGGAGAACTCCATGGAATCCTCTCTCCACATGTCTGCAGATTTGGAGCGCTTCTTCTTGAAGCTGCCACCTTCCCGAGGACCGTCTCTGGTCCTCTGCAGGTATGTGTCCTCACCTGTGAAAAGTCCATCATCATCACAACCATCTGCCACCACTGTGTCCATCTCAACTCCATCTTCGGAGCCAGGCGTGGTGGTGGGATCCGCCAAGTTGTCGTGGAAGGACACCGGCCGCAAGTTCATGGCCATCCGGTCCACCCAAATAGTGCCCCCATAGCCCTCCAAAGCATCTGTCACATTGAAGGGTTCCAGGCCATTTTCACTTAAGGACTGTGGAATGGAAGGGGTGCTGCTAGATTTTGTGCTGGTCTCAGAGTTGCGGTGTTCAGCCTTGCTGGTTGAGGCATGACGCGATCGTCGAGACTGCTTGTTAGAGATGCGAAGTGATCGGGTCATGTGCTTTCGTGAGAGGTGGCCCTGCCCCTCACTGTAGTAGGCGTGGCCTCCATTTTGGCTCTCCACATTTCCCATGGTTTAACGTCTGTGAAAGACACAACATGGGTTAGGTATAGGACATGTCGCTACCTACGGATGAAGTTAAGACCCACCAAACACTAAGCCAAACACAAACACAGATAGAACCTGGCTAAAACCTGGCTGACCAGCAAACATTACATTCTTCTTAAGATCCTATCTAAAAGAGTCACTGCAGCTCTAAAGCAGCATACATGCTAGATCCAACTCCTATGTAAGGCGGTACGTTTTAAGAATTATTACAGTGCAGAAAGAGAAAGCAACAAAATCAAAGAGGATGTACCTACAGAACAGAAATTCAGTCTCTAAATACCATCTCTTAAAGTGAGAGCAGAATTGCATGTGATCAGAGTCTAACACCAGAAATATCTCTGACGCACACAAAGACACAAGAGAGTGAGCGAAGGAGTGGGATGTGAAACCTCTCAACCCCCTGTGTAGAGAACATCAGTGGATTTTTAAAATGACCTCTATTAGAGAGTTCACACAATGTGTTTCTCAGTTATAACCTCTTGAAAATGTTGGAACGGTTCAATTAAGGTATAATTCAGATAAATTAGTTCTGAGAAAGAAAAAAGGGATTAGTTTTAAGAATCCATTTTGTACAGTTTAAGGATTTTTTTATGGAATCACTTAGGTAAGTAAAAAATAATTGTGGGAGAATAATCATGAGATATATTTATTCTGTTCAAAAACATATAGAAGCAGCATTTTAAGGCATCATAGACACGCTCCCAACATGAAGGCTATCCCAGAAGGTAAGTTAATGATGCTGCCTCATAATTGCTTGTGATACCTAGTTTGCACAAGCAATTACAGCCAGTCCCATAATGTTCCCATTCCAATTCCCATTGTGACAAGCTTTGGGGAAAACTAAATTCAAGACGCTGGGTAGGCGGAAGAAATGTTAATTATAAACCTAAATGTTTCATTATTTTATTCAATTTATACTTCGGAAAGTAAATAAAATGGAACATTTTACCCAATATTTGTGTGTGTTTTTATGCAATTTACATGCTATTAGCAAACTTTGTTGAACTTAGTTGCTGCAATTGGCAGCAAGGCAGCTTGTTTAGAGCTGCCTAAAAAACACAATTAAATAAATAAATATATATATATATATATATAAGATCAGCAACAGTACCTGAGGCAGAAACAGTGGTGGATCAGATGCATTTCCAGACGGCAATGCTCTTATTTATTGACCTCATGGTCCTGATCAGCCGTACAGCAGTTTTCCCTGAAAAAGAAATATAACACATTTTAAACAAAGGAACAGAGGAAGATTAAGTTCAGACACAAGGATAGTTTGGATTGCTGTTCATAAATAAGACGTTCAGGAGTTTTTGGGTTTGGGTGGATTTCAAGACACATACGGTATGAGAACATGACAGCACACCTGTTCAAAGATGCGGTCACAAAAGCACACACAACACTAAGCCTATACAACAATATTCACACATCTTCCCTGCTGCACAAGAGGAAGAATTTTCTGATTCGTCTCAGTTCCTTAAGAAGCCAACAATACAGTAATTATGTGAGAAGATCAAGGCTACCCAGCAGTAGTCGTAAAGCTGAACCCAGTAAATGTTCTTCAATGCCAATCTGACCTAATTTCTACTAATCCAGAAGGAAGAGCAGAGGGAAAGCCTCATCTCCATACTGCAGCAGGTATAAATATTAGAAGATTCAATATGAGAAGGTTCAGACTACACGCTGCATTTTATGAATTAGCTTCAGAATGACACGGTCACTGCTCCAGTAACCAGGGGATAGAAATAGAGGAAGAGGATAAAGAAAAGATAAAGAGTAAAATTTGCGTATTGAATCCATTTAAACTTATATAGAAGGTACTCAAGCCATATCTAGAAACCAGAATATCATTGAGAATTGGGATGGGCTCTTTTGACTTGGTCCAGAAAATAGCAACCCCCTTTAGATCACCTTAGCAGCCAACCAAAACACCCTAGTATTGTGCTGGCGAGTTTACATTGGTAAGGACCACACAAATCTAGTTTTTACTGTAAAAATGTATAGTGTCTTCTTGTGTGCCTGTGTTGTTTCTCGCTGCCAGATGGTTTGTGATACAAACAGTGTGCGTAACAGAAGCGTGTGTGTGAATGTGTTTGTTGAGGTCAGTGCGTATTTCTCTGGATCATGTCCAGCTTCGACAGTAAGGGTCAACAAGACCTTAAGGCCAATAAAGTGAGAGATAGAGATCCTCAGGACGACAGTCTGGTGCATGTGTTTGTTCGTGTACATCAGAGAAGTGATAGAAAAACTCTGCACTGCAGTAAGTCTACTCAACCTTGCTGTGGACTTACATAAACTAGAGTTGACCCCATTTTTCACTGCATTTCACTTTTTTTGCAGCTCTGCCCTCCCCCTCTATATCTCTGCTCCTCCTTCCAGTCCATGTCCCCTCCTTCATATTACTACCATTAGATTCATCCTCCACAAGATATTTAGGCTTTTAAATCAGCAATTCAAATGTGAAGTTTACTGGGGGGTGGAAAAGAGGACAAAACTCGGATGTGAAAAAAGCATCTCCAGTAGTATTCTGATTACCCACCACTATAGATATTTTGCTAAATATATTTTGAGTTCCCATTTCATGCTATTGGGAATACGTAATTACTAGGTCAGGTGCGTTCAAGTCCCTTTGGTCAGAGCAAGATGGCGATGCACTTTTTTCTAATAAATATATATATACTACTTCTATTAAACGTTGAATAAAGAATGTGCATCAGGCGTGTTTTTCCTTTTTATGTTTTTATTATTTATGAAGGTGCTGTAAATAGAATAGTTATATATTCTATTGTAATTGTACAATACTAACAACAATATACTTTTCAACATATTTACCATCAACTATAGATGCATCCATTGTGTTCGCCATATTTTTTTCACTGACATGCCTCCAACTCAGAAACTCTTGTAATTAGGACATTGTGGTGGTATTCATGTGTGATCAACTCAATACAATCTCTCTTACATGAATGCACTATTAGCTAACTTTTTTTGTAGACTGCAGTCTTTCGAGAAAATAAGCTGTATGTAAATGACTGGAAATAGCTGCTCAAGATGGCCGCCAACTTGCCTTAAAGGGACTTTCCACTGCGTTTCCCTTCTTAATGCGAGCTGTGACGGTATATAAGCATATGTGTGCTAATCAAACACAGATCTGTTACCATCTGATCCGATCGCATTAAATATCAAATCTTCTACTTCGAAAACATTCTCCAGATGGAATATCTCAGCGGGGATCTACAGTTAAAATGTCATTGCAGTCATAACCAAAAGGTTAGCGAAAATCGATGAGAGAAACTGTGATCCCGCTGAGCAGAGCGGCAAACGTGAGTCAGCGAATGAACCGAGTGACCTTCTGCCCACTCTCTCCTTCCCTCCTACTTCTCACCTACATGATACTCGGATTGAGCAATAATAATGTGTGATAAATCTCAGCATGACGACAACAGACCCCAAGCTAACACAAACGCAAAATGTTGATCGCTATATGTAAAGCTCTGAGTTATGACACTCATATATATTCTTGTTGTTTGTGAATGTGTTTTTGTTATCTTGGAGCAGGACGTCTCCTGCAGGGTAGAAGCAGGTGGAGAGGATGGAGGAAGGGTGTGTGGTGGTGGAATAGCCTGCTGAGCCTTGTATAGTCTCACTGTGAATGTTTAATCACAGGCACTTAGGAGGACACCTCCTCCACTTCACTTCCCTCACTGTGAAGGATGTGCTAGCCTGAGCTCCGTTATTAAACCACACACACATCCAGCACACACACATACACACACACTCTGATCTTACCTCAGCTTCCACACTGCTTATTCTCTTTTTTGTCTATCTGTCTATCTATCTATCAACCTGTTAGTATTTTTTCTTTCCTACTTTGTCTTTAACATCACATTTTGTCTTTCCTCTTTTCATGTCACATTTCTTTATGTCATCCTTTCTTTCTTTCCCGTCCCCCCTCTCTGATGAATGTTTTCTCCCCCCCCCCCAGTCCCATCTGCAGAATAAAGCCAATGTTTGGCCGTGAGGAGGGTGTGCATTGTAATGGAATAATGAAACGGACTGACTCTGAACATCCCGTTCCCTCTCTCAGATAATCTTTTGTTTGAGCAAAAAGAGCGGCTGTGGAATAGATCACCAGCACGAGTCGAGTGTTAAAAAGCAAGATATCACAGCTTTGCTTTCTTTAGATTTCTCCAGCTAGTTCACATTAACACATCCCTACAGGTAGCACAAAACACTCTCAATCTTTTACAAATTCTTCATAAGAAATATAGAGATTAGAGTGGCTAGTAAAACTCTTTATAGTTCTGTAGCGCTCAGTAACTTCACTTTACTTAGCTCTCTCAAAACTGAGCAACCGGATATAGGGGGTGTGAAACGAATAATGCTCTTTGATACTAAATTAAAAAGTAGAGCGAACATATCATTACTGAAGTATAATCATCTGAAATGTCTCCATTTATCACATTATAAAGCACAGACAGGCCTGCTTGAGAAGAACTGCAAAATTGCACCCGCAAATAGACTCTGATAAGTCTGCAAACTTAACTCAATCAGATATTATAATATAAATATCAAAAAGCACTGGGATGCTCATATTATTTATGATGGAAGAGAAGATAGATGTTCACTAGACAAAGAAAAGCGATGAGTGATGACTGCTGTAAGTGAGGGGGAAGCAAAACACAAATGCATTATTCTCGTTCCCTAAACCTGCTCCCATTAGTCCAATACATAGTCTTTTTGTTTCTGCTGCTTGTCTTTAAGGCCTGAGGCAAAGAGCAAGGTTTAAAATCTCCCCAAAGCCCAGCACTGCTGCACTGAGTTGAGGAAGACTACGAGGCTTTTAACTGCACACCCAGACAGAGAGAGTAAGCACAGGAGAGACTGGATTAGAAATGCTCCATTGTTCAGTCAGATGGAATCTATAATTTTGCATGTGCACAATCTACTCTTGTTAGTATAAT